CTACTCCAGAGACTGAGGCAGGAGAATTGCTTGAACCTGGGAAGCGGAGGTTGCAGTGAGCAGACATCATGCCATTGCACTCCAGCCTGGGCAAGAAGAGCCAAACTCCATCTCAAAACAAACAAACAAACACACAAACAATTTAGGAAACACCTTAAAGTTTCTCAAAGTGTGTTCTTAGACTAGCAGCATTAGCATTAATTGGGAACTTGTAAAAAATGAAAATGTAGACCCCAAACCAGTGAATCACAAAGTCTAGTGGTGAACCCCAGAGGTTTGTGTTCTTTTCTTCCCATTTCCATGAATTGTTCAGGTTCACATAAGTGATAATGTTTGGAAAGTCTTCTCTCTAGTAGGTTTCTCTGTGGGGAACACAGGAGATAAACTGCCTGAATTGCTGTGTATCTTTCCTTCACCCTGACACAGGGCCACATCGTGGCTGGGTACAGCATTGCTGGGCTGTAGTCCTTTCTCTCAGTAGTCCTTAACTGCCATGCCACTGTCTGTTCCAGCACAGGAGATAAAAAGTCTAATTCCAGCATCATTCTTCTTCTGTAGATAAGATGCTCTTTTTAATTGGATGTTTGTAAAATGTTTCTCTTTCTCCTTAGTGTTCAAAATTTTTACCAGCAGATGCCTCAATGTTTCTTATTTCTCTTCACTCTAGTCCAGTATTTCTCCATTTTTTCATCAATCCCCACTTATGGAGCCTTTTTAGACACTTTTTCCTAATCGCCGTCTCATACAATTTTAATAGCACAGGTATATTGTATATTTGTTTATGTACTGTATTTGTGCTTTGTACATAAAGAGAGTGAGATTTTTATTCACTCCCCCAAGAACAAATATTTGCCCCATTAGGGACACTATCACCCCCTTTTCACCTCTGTTGAGAGAGCATGGTTTAACCTGAAACAGTGAGCCTTTTATTACACTTCAAGGAATAATCTATTATTGGTTTAATTATTGTCTTCTCTCCATTAATACCTTTTACTGCTTGTGACACTTTGTTATTCTTGATTTATCCTCCAAGTCCCTTATCTTTTCTTCATAGTTTCTTATATTTTTGCTTCTTGTTTTGAAATATTTATGAAATCAAATTTGGATCTCAAGGAAGACCATCCCTTCTCTCAATTCACTCACTAAATTATTTATTAGTTTGGCCTCAGAAAGGATGGCCCCCTTGAATTTTTTTAATGGGGTTGTTTTTTTCTTGTAAATCTGTTTAAGTTCCTTATATACGCTGGATATTAGACCTTTGTCAGATGTATAGTTTCCAAATATTTTCTCCCATTCTGTAGGTTGTATACTGTGTTGATAGCTTCTTTTGCTGTGCGGACACTCTTAACGTTTAACTAGATCCCACTTGTGAATTTTTCCTTTTGTTGTTCCTCTGGTGTCTTTGTAATGAAATACTTGTGCTTTCCCCTGTCCAGGATGGTATTGCCTAGGTTGTCTTCCAGTGTTTTGATAGTTTGGCATTTGACATTTAAATCTTGAATCTACCTTGAGTAGATTTTTGTATATGGTATAAGGAAGGGGTCAAGCAGCAATCTTCTGCATGTGGCTAGCCAGTTATCCCAGCACCATTAATTGAATTAGGGAGTGTTTTCCTCATTGCTTGTTTTTGTCAGGTTTGTCGGAGATCAGATGATCAGGTGTGTGGCCTTATTTCTGGGCTCTCTATTGTACCACCGGTCTATGTGCCCGTTTTTGTACCAGTACCATGCTGTTTTGATTACTGTAGCCCTGTAGTATAGTTTGATATCAGGCAATTTAATGCCTCCAGTTTTGTTCTTTTTGCTTAGGATTGCCTTGGCTATTCAGGCTCTTCTTTGGTTCTTTATACATTTTAAAATAGTTGCTTTTTGTTCTATAAAGAATGTCATTGGTCAGTTGATAGGAATAGCATTGAATCTGTAAATTGCTTTAGGCAGTATGGCCATTTTAATGATCCCATCCATGAGCATGAGATTTTTTTTTCCATTTTTTGTGTCTTCTCTGATTTTTCTGAGCAGTTTTTGTAATTTTCATTCTAGAGATCTTTCACCTCCCTGGTTAGCTGTATTTCTAGGTATTTTATTCTTTTTGTGGCAGTTATGAATGGGACAATCTTTCTGATTTGGCTCTTGGCTTGGCTGTTGTTGATGTACAGGAATGCTAGTGATTTTTGTGTTTTAATTTTGTATCCTGAAACTTTGCTGAAGTTGTTTATCAGCTGAAGGAGCTTCTGGGCCAAGGCTATGGGGGTTTTCTAGATATAAGATCACATCGTCTGCAAATAGAGATAGTTTGTCTTCTTCTCTTCCTATTTTTATTTCTTCCTCTTTTTATTTCTTCCACTTTTTATTTCTTTCTCTTGCCTGATTTCTCTGGCCAAGACTTCCAATACTATGTTGAATAGGAGTGGTGAGAGAAGGCATCCTTGTTTTGTGCCAGTTTTCAAGGGGAATGCTTCCAGCCTTTGCCCATTTGCTAAAACGTTGGCTGTGGTTTTGTCATAGATGGCTCTTATTATCTTGAAGTATGTTCCTTTAATACCTAATTTATTGAGAGTTTTTAACATGAAGGGGTTTTGAATTTTATCAAAAGTCTTTTCTGCATCTGTTGAGATAATCATGTGTTTTTATCTTTAGTTCTGTTTATGTGAGG